GAGCAGGGAGCCCGATGCGGGACTCGATCCCGGGACTCCAGGATCATGACCTGAGCCGAAGGCAGTCGCCCAACCAACTGAGCCACCCAGGCGCCCTCATTTTGGGACTGTTTTGTGACATGTATCCCTCTCTCCTTTTGCTTCCCTGTTGCTGAAGGTGGATGGGCAGGTGGTGGCCCTGCTTGTGCAGAATCTGGAGCGCCTGGATGAGTCCGTGAAGGAAGAGGCGGATGGTGTCCACAACACTCTAGGTGAGGGGCAGGGCGACCAGTGATCAGAGACCTTCGTGTTTGTTTTGGGCTTGGTGCTCATTTCTTTCTTCCTTCATAAAAGAGTCAACAGCAGCGGTGTTTTCTTTCCTTGTACTCCCAGACTGCCGCTCCAGAAATGAGGACCCTTGTGTAAATTTCATATAACTGCAGCTTTGGTTTGGCTTGGCAAGTAATAAAAGCAGAAATCCACTAAGTAGGGTAACTTCCTGGACAAAAACTGGCTCCTTTTAGCAGAACTTTGCCTTCAAATGTTAGGGTCATGTCTATGCAGGGTGAATTTTTTTTTTTTTTTTTAGCTTTAGAAAGTGTATATTTTACAATTTTTAATCCCCCATATTGGTTTTTCTTCCTACTTTCCTTCAGTGGGACTACAAACTTTGGAACAATGGAGTACCTTTATAAGACAGCTTATTTGAAAAAGAGTTAAGTGTTTATCTTCTTATGTGTAGTTTGCCACGTAAACTTAGTTGAAATATTGCTGTTAACTTGGATGCACTTTCATCACGTGTTAATTTAAGTGGGTGTCTTTTGTAGTATTTCCCTTCCTCCTCCTTGAATCTCCCAGTTCTTTCTCCTGGCAAAGTTGTCGAACCATTAGCCTATTTAAAATTGTGGTTTTGGGTAGTTCTCCTTTATCACTGGTCATTGTCTTATAAAAAAACCAAAGGTGACATATCTTAAGCAGAGCTTGAGAAAGGAATGAGACCCAGCTGAAGCAGAAATTTTGATGAGATTAGATTTTTCTCTCAAGTCTTTTTGTCTACCACAGATTTCTCTTATAGTTTTATACTCTCTTCTGTGAGCATTATCATAAACAAGAGGGAAGACATAGCACCGAGGGAGTAAGAGAAGAGAGAACACAACAATCTGTAACTTGGGGGTTGGCTTTAGTCTAGAGCTAGAATTTGGCATTACCATCTGTTAGCCTAATGCTGGATTTTGCTGAATAGAAAGCTTATCAAAAGTCTTAACTGACTGTTAATAAAAAGGGCCTGGTATAATGAAAAAAGCACCAGTCTGGCTGTCTGTAGAGATCTGTCTAGTTTCAGCACGGTCGCCTACCAGCAGCTCAGGAGGTTCATCCCTCTCTCATTTATTGAGCACCTGCAGTTTGTGAGGCACTGTGCTAGGCACTGGGTAGATTAAAGATGAATTGGGCATGGTCTTAACTCCCTAAGAAGCAGACTGATGGGAAAGCCTTGAACGGAAAGGAAAGATAATACAGGGAGACAAATGGTATAATAGGAGTCAGTGGAGAGCAGTGTGGAAGTGAGGAAGGGTCTCCAAAGGTAGCTGATTGGGGCTGCATATGAAGACAGGTGCGTTTTGACAGAGAAATGTGAGAAGGACCCTTGGGTAGGAGAGAGTCACAGTTGTAAAGCTGTGAGTGGGCGTGGGCTTGGGGAAAGTGTAGAGCTGTACTGTGGCAGTGGGAGGTAGTGGTAGTGGGAGACGGGACCAGAGGCATGAGTTTGCCCAGATGGTGGAAGACCTTGTAAACCGAGGTAAGATGATTGGATTTGGCTCTAGTGAGCAACGGGAAGCCATCTAAGGTGTAAGCAGAGGAGTAAGATAAGGGCATTGGAGATTAAAATGCATGAGTTGATTTTCCTAGAAAGTGTGAGAAAGTAACTTAGGGGTCTCGTTGCTACTCTGCTAACATGGCTTTGTATTCCACTCCCTGAGGGGGCTGCCCCCTGAGTCTTTAACTTCCCACTGGCTGACAGCGGCAGAGGAGTGAGGATGAGCGTAAGAGGCATGGGGATTTCTTTATCCCTTTCTCCTTCAAAATTCAGATCTGATGTGTTCTGGGCATTGGGCTTAGAGAACGTGGACCTAACTCTATCCCCTTTATAATAGTCACGTATCCTGGGATATGGAGCGGAAGGGGCCCTGAAGGAAATGAAAGCACTGGATGTGTTAGAATGGAACTATATAGGGGATTTTTTTAAAATGTCCCCCTTTTTAGTATCATGGTTATGTAATAACTTTTTTTTTCCTTTGGCCTCCTAAGTTTTAATTTTTCTGTTTAGCAGCAATTTGGCCCTTGTAGGAGATAGCAGGACCAATTATATTTGCTTCTGAGTACCTGACAGTTACCTCTGCCAGCATGGCCTTTCCCCTCTCTGCACATTTTTTTGTTCAATTAAGAAGATCATGCTTGCTTCCCTTGCAATATCCAGAGAAAGAGAATTGAAAGTGAATGTCAGGAAGGGAAGAGACTCTGAATTCACCATCCCCTCATTTTTTTCCCTAGGCTTCCTGCCTAGTCAGTCGCCTGTCTCTTCAGTTACAGGTCTCTGGGGCTCCCATGCAGTGAGGACTAAGAAGGCCTTCCTGGGCAGATATCCACCTTTCTCTGTGTTCTGCTCTAGTGTTGTTCCCTATTAGTTCCTTTTGTAAATTTCATCATTTTCGGTTAGGAGTTTTACTTGCAACATTACTTGAATTAAAAAAAACCATAGCATCTCCCTGGTTAATCTAATAATGACAACACAGCATCTGGCTAAGAGGAATACAGGAAGTGGGAAGAGGAATATGGTGTCTGTCATGGGAAGGGAAGCAAGCTTGTTGCAGATGGAAACAAAATTGCCCTCGCAAATGACTGCTGTCTGTCTCCCTTTAGCTATTGTGGAAAACATGGCAGAGTTCCGGCCTGAGATGTGTACCGAGGCTGCCCAGCAGGGTCTTCTGCAGTGGCTATTGAAGAGGCTGAAGGTCAGTTTGGCTTTGTGGGACTGTAGCTAACACTGCTCTTCGCTCTGGGCCTGGCTGAAGCTGGCTCACTGGCACAGATGTTTGTCCCTTTTGCTGTGGGATCTAGTTTGGGCATCTTTACTGAAAGATCTCTTGCGTCTTTCTTTGCTTTTCCCCTGTTTGTTTTAAAAGAAGAGGCTTTGAAAGTAGCCTTTAATACCTCTGAAAATACTAAAAACATTTTGTAAATACAGATAAACTCATGTGGTACAGAAGGTATAAAACTGAAAGTAAAAGCTCCCCTCAGCAGATTCCTTCTAGTTCCGCTTGCCAGAGTCTGCCACTGTTAACAATATTTTACCTATCCTTCCAGAAGTTTTCTGTGTATCTAGGAGTGTGTATGTTTTTCACAAACAGAATTATACAATATTTTATTTTGCAAGTTGGTTTTTTCACTGAACTAATAGCTGCCTAGTATTCTGTTTTATGCATATACCAAAATTAACTATTCCCCTTTTTATAACACTTATTCACTGCTGTTTAACAAGTTTCCACTGTTACAAGCAGTCCTGAAGTGAATATTCTCATATACACACTTTTTTCTTGCACACTTCTTCTTCTTCTTCTTTTTTTTTTTTTAATTTATTTGACAGAGAGAGAGAGAGGGAACACAAGCAGGGGGAGTGGGAGAAGGAGAAGCAGGCTTCCGGCTGAGCAGGGAGCCTGATGCGGAGCTCGATCCCAGAACCCCGGGATCATGACCTGAGCCGAAGGCAGACGCTTAACGACTGAGCCACCCAGGTGCCCCTCTTGCACACTTCTGTTAGTTTATCTCTAGGATAAATTCCTAGAAGTAGAACTGATAGAGATGGAAGGATATACACATTAACATTTTTGGTGGGTATTGCAAAGTTGTTCTGCATAAAGGCTGCCCCACTGATTTTTTTTTTTTTT